TTTAAGTAACTAACAGGTTGCGGGATCTGCCAGGCCCAAATGAAACCTTGCTTAAAAAGCATGTGGACCTTCTTACAATTTTGAGGATTTTAAAGGACAGAATTTGGAATGAACACTGTGATGGAATAAGGAGAATATGAAGTGCCAGCAGTTTCTTGAGAACTGCAATCTAGTTGTCAATGTGGCTGGATTGCACAACTGTAGTTTTTTGGGTTGGCTTTGGGATTTTTTTTTGTGTGTATAGTCAGTCACACTAACATATGTGAGATTCCTTTGGTCCTCATGAGGCTGGAGTCTGAAGCGTCTGCTTATGATTAATCCAAGCTGTGAGTAATGCCACATGTGAAGAACTGGAGAGTCACGAGCAGCACAGACTCACAGCTGGAGCCAAGCGTGCAAGCGGCAGCTTGGAAAGAACATTTGAAACAGGTTTGCAGATGTATCCAACTGACAGGGGACAAAATCCTGCACTATCTCTAATGGAGAGTACATCTGTATGTTGCAAGGAGCAAGACACTAAAAACCAACAACATAAGAAAATACCAACTCATTCAAGAATTGAGAGTGTTCCTATAGGGAAATTCCTCAAACATTCTCAAGATCCTTTCTAACTCATCCTATGCTCAGGGAAAGGAGGAGGAGAGTGTTTCCCCATAAAGTTCAGTATGTCATTAGTGCTTTATAATATATTGTCAAGAATACTTTCTGTCCAACATTCTTATTGTTAATTTTTGAACATGAAGCTAGGGTAAACGGTGCAGCTTTTATTAAAAAGAAATTGATTAGACATCTTGTAACCAAAATTCACTTTCAATTTATTTCTTCAGTTTTTTAAAAATCCTACCTTTATTATATAAATAAGTCAAGGCAGTGAATACTTTGTGACATGCCAGCCTTGGCCAACAAGACAACTTTGTTTGGCTACATGCCTTCAAATGGTCAGGACTAGTTGCTGTTTAATCAAAATGAAGAAGCCAGGTTAGGAAAAGTTAGTTTGGAGGAATAAAAACGTTAGTCCCACTTTCTCCTTTTATAAATTGGTTTAATCCCTCCAAACAAATGGACAATTTCTTTAAACTGAAACAAAAAACAATGGCAAGACAAATACAAATTAGGTTTGCCAGTTACTCTGACCTACTGAAGCAAATGAGAAATTTGTGAATAATAAAAAGAGGTATGAGTGCTCTTCTCATGGATGGATGCCTAGTACTAAAAGAATTATTTTCAGCACCAGCTTAAAATGATTCATTGACTATTTTTTAACATTTCTTTTTTAATGACTTTTGTACTGCTAACTTTCAAGATTTATGATTAGATTTTATTGGGTTGTTGCTCATTTGCTGTATAATGGCCAAAGAAGCATCTTGAAATAAATGTTACTGAAAATAAGAATATTGTAGTCTTGCTTCAATTACTTCTCTAAAATATGTTTAGGGTACTCTGAATGTGATTTAAAAAGTAGCTCAGCACTCCAAAAAACTATTACAGTTCTCCACTTCCACCCAGAAGTATTCAAGAGGGTGATTAAAAACAGTCAAATGGCAGCCATGATAGCTCTATGCAACTGAAGTTCTATCCCTCTTTCACAAACATAGTGCATATAAGACATGTTAAAAAGAGGGAGCATTTTGACCCCTCCATCTCTCCACTCTATTAGATGAAAATAATTGGAAGTCATTAATCTTTCTGAAGTTGAATTCAGTTTTAAGTTGCAAGACCTTACCATATGTGGAAATACAGGCACCCTTTTTTTCTCTGGTGGGGGCTGCATTTGATCAAGAGATAATTTGCTTGGGGAGGCATGAGAGGTGGAACCAAAGTAATTGATAGCAAGATGCCTTCTCTTTCCAAGCACCTGAGAAGAGACATTTCATTCTCACCCAAATATCACCGGCATAGGTGCAGAAAAGAAGAAGAAGCCTTAATGCCTATGGATTTGCAGGCTTATCTTCTCCAGCCACAGCTGGTGATTCTCACTTCCAGGTCCGTGCCATAGGCTTTTATGGGCCAGCCTCCCTCCAGAAGCTAAGTTAATTCCCTGTCCCATTCTACTTAATTTTCTCGATCTTAGTTCAAACAAAGCTCTTGAGACGAACATTTAAAAATAAGTTACTTTTTTCTTTGTGTTTATTCCTATTTTTTACCATGAATGTTTTAATGTATATCCTTTTTGAGTGTCTTCTAAAGCAGTGATCCCCAACCTTTTTGACGCCACGGCCCGGTACCGGCATCAGCTGGGTGCCGCGGCCCGGTACCGGCATCAGCTGGGCGCCGCCATCTTTTTTTGATGAAAACGTGCTTCCGGTGAGCTTTCTACCCGGAAAAGCTCACCGGAAGCACTTTTTCATGAAAAAAAGATGGCGGCACCCAGCAAGCCAGCGGCCCGGTAGGAGTTGTTCCCCGGACCGGTACCGGTCCGCGGACCGGTGGTTGGGGACCCCTGTTCTAAAGAACAACTATCAGGAGACTTTGCAAATTACCAAGAAGATTTGAAGATTTATTTTGTGGCATACAAAATACATACATTCTCATTTATTATTTTGTTAAACCAACTTAGATAACTGCTCTACTGGAAAGAACTCTAAGCAGTGAACAGAATAAAAACACAGTACACTAAAAAAAGACAATTTAAAACACTAAACAACACTGAGGCCCCAATAAACTTGTATTCATCCCTTTTTATCTCGGCTCCATCAACATCCTGGCCCCAAGCCTAGGGAAAAAGTCAGGTCTTCACATTTTCCCCAAAATCAACAGGATTGAGGCCATCCATAATCTCTAGATGACCCTCCTTGCACAAAGACAGAGGTAGCGGTCCTGATGCTGGGTTGTTGCCCTCCTACGGCCTCCTCCACGTCTTGATTGATTTGGAGTTACATTGTGTTGTTTAAGTGTTCCCTTTATTTTTTTGAGCAGTGTATTTCAGTCCTATCATCTAATTTAGCTATTATCAAAATATATACTATCACAAAGAATTATCTTAACAGTTAGTGGTTCCCTACAAATTGAAGAATTTTATCTTAGAAGCACTTTGTTCAATTAAGGCTCTTAGTGCTCTTTTATCCAACTGGCAAGAATAATGTGTTAATGGCAAAAGATGTTGAGACTCTAGAAAGAGTGCACAGAAGAGCAACAAAGATGATTAGGGAACTGGAGGCTAAAGCATATAAAGAATGGTTGCTGGAATTAGGTATGTCTAGTTTAATGAAAAGAAGGACTTTTGCCACAAAGAAGAGGGAGTCAAACTATTTTCCAAAGCATCTGAAGGTAGGACAAGAAGCAATGGAGCAACTAATCAAGGAGGGAAGCAACCTAGAACTAAGGAGAAATTCCCTGACATTTGGAACAATTGGTCTAATGATGAAGGCACCAGGCTAGAAACCGAGACCATGAGTTCAAATCCTACTTTAAGCATAAAAGCCAGCTGGATGACGATTTTGGGACAGTCACTCTTTCTCAGCCCAACTTACCTAATAGAGTTGTTGGTGTGGGGAAAATAGGAGAAGTAAGGAATACTAGATATGTTTGTCACTTTGAGTTGTTTATATAAAGGCGGGAAATAAATTATAAAAATAAAAAATAAAATGATGATGAGCTTTTCTTATGAAAACTGGTGTTTAATGAAGAATTGGAATGAATTATCTTTCCATAATTAGACAGAACTTCTGAGAAAAATATTAAAAATACTCAAATTACTAAAAGTTTTGATTTGATTTAAGGTTTGTATATGGAGACTGAAAAAAGTAAACTCAGAATAAATATACCAGCAATATCTACAATGAAGTAATGGTTGGTGAACTTGCTGAGATACCCAAACTGATTTCTTTGATGTAAGACAATAACTAAGTTTACAGCTGACTGGAAATTCCTGGTGCACTTTTTGCATAAAACAGAAAAAAAACAAATTTATGATTTATTGTTTTGATGATTAGGCATGAGAGATCATAGAAAGAAGTCATGATACAACTTTAGAAAAAGAGATAAATTTATAATTGTACCTGTAACTTCTGTAAAGAAGATTTGAAACCACTTTTTGTATCTTTTTTTTCTTTTTTTCTTTCTTTCTTGCACTTTTAGCTCTCTTCAATTTCTTTTTCTTTACTTCATATTAGTTTGTTATTAGTTTTTAACCTCTGTTTTTAAAACTTGCAGTTGAATGATATACTACATGAAAGCTATATTCTTTCTATGCAATGTAAAAGAATAAAAAAAATGGAGCATCCACACATGCGACTTAATTGGGATTCAGACAAATGGCAACTGTGGTTTCACAAATTGTCTTTTAGAGTTGGTTTAACTGTGTTATAATGGTAAGCAAAGAGGGATGTTTTCCACATCAAAAATACCGCAACTAGGTTCTTGTACTGCCATCAGATGATCAACTCCCTAGGGTGAAGAAGTGCATCTCAGCATCGTTTAAAGCAGGGCTGTCAAACTCCCAGCAATCATGGCCAGTTGCATCACGTGCTGGCCACACCCATGCCCGGTTTAGCAAAGGGGGAAAAAATTCCGATACGTCACGTGACATTGCCATGACGACGTGAGTTTGACACCCCTGGTTTAAAGTATTGCCAGTTGCTCTGCCTTGCACTTTCTTCTTATGCAAGCACTTCCACCTAAGATTCAACTTTAAGGGATCTTTAGTTTTGTTGAATTTGTCTATGTTCCCTTTGCTATTGCTACTTTAACAGCATAATGGTCAAACTATTTTACCAGGTCTATTTAAGACAAAATACACAAAAGTCAGAATGCTAACTACTTTTACCCCCACCCCGCCCCACCTGATTACTTGTTCATCTGGCCTGAAAACATCCTGTTAATTCAATGGAAGTCTGCTGGTAGGTATTGAGAAGCACTCCAAACACCCCCATTCCACCCCCATATCAGTTTTATTTAATTCTTGTACAAACAGCCCAAAAGAAATTCTGCTGATGCAGCAAATATCTCCACCTCAAACTTTTTAAACATTATAACCAGCTGCCAAAAATACATATACTTACTGCTAGAAACATCATGCAATACATGGAGAATGACGAATGTCCAGAGTAAAATGACAGTCTGAAAAATAAGAATAAATGCAAGTAAGTGAGTATGAATTAGTTATTTTTTAGCATACAAGAATCTGTCCCTTTTAAAAAAGGAAAAGAAAATGCAGAGTAAACTTTTTTTTTCCAATTTGAGATGCAAAATCTGAATTTGGCAAAATACACTGAATAACCTTGAACAAGTTACTATTTCTCATATGTTCCTTACTGGAAAATTGTGAAGAAAAATGCTACGCTGAGTCCTTGAAAGAGAAGTCAGGAATATAAACAGATCCAAACAGAAGCACGGAGACCAATATCAATGTTTTTGTAGTTTACATACAATTTGTAATTTGTGTTCAAAATGAGTTTTTAGCCTGAGTTATGTTCACTTGAATTAATAAAATAAAATGTTCATTTATATATTGATCAATGCTTTAGAATTTTAACGTTTATCTATTTGATTCCAAACTGCCTTTTGCCCAAAAGATTCTGAGAGTACTTAATCCACAATATAAATGATGCAGCATTATTAAAACATAACTGTGAACAGCTTGGAGATCTAGGATTGCCCAGTTTTGGACTCTATAGTGTGGGATGGTCAGTTGACTACTGGAGTTCTCACAAGTTTTGATTCCTAGCCTGGATGCAAGGGGTGATCATAACCTCGCAAAACTAGACATATTATCTCCATATATGGATGGAAAGGATGAGAGTGAGAGAAGAGCAAACACTGTGCCTAAACACATTCATGCCAAGGATTTCAGACTATTACAATTAGTCTTCTATTCCTGGATGCAGCGTTGCCAAAAGACACAGCCAATATAGCCTGACCTTTCAACATCAGAATGCACCATAGTATATTAGCTATACTTTCATGTTTCCAGACACATATTACCGTCAAGATCATGTCTCTCCTAGAGAACTTCAGAGAAAGTTATTAATGGTACTCTAATTCCAGCTGGAAATACCTGTCCTTTATAGCTTATCAGTTCCCCAGCTGCATTTGTTTTTCTTCTCTCAGTCACTGCCTGCCCATAATTTTAATATTTTAAACAGAGACACAATAGAGATGCTGCTAAATGTTCCTCTACAACTCTTTCTTCCAAAGGCTGCCTCAGACCAGAACATTTTGTCCCTCCTGCCAGCCATTTATTTTCCAAACCCTCGCAGCATTTCTGTGGACAACGTCCTTCAGTCTTTGTCCCTCCAGCCCTAGTTGGTAAGTAAGCAAACCACAATGAGAAAGTACCCATCTCTGGAAACTGTAACCCGTATGTACTTATATTTCATCTTCCTCTCTCGTCATACTGTTAAATTATTTAAATCATCCCAATAGCAGATCATACATCAGGTCTCAAGAGCTTTCAGGAAGTTATGGTTTCATAACAACGGCCCTTGTATACTTTTCTCCTGGAAAGGTTTATTTCAACAAGTCAGATAATACAAACCTAGAATATACATTTTATTTTGATTTCTCACTCTGGCCATTAAGGCTAATGTTGACACTTCTTTTTAAAATAAGCTATTTAAAAATATGAAGGAGCTACTAAGCTAAAGACATATGGCACCAGAGCTCTTTCTAGGTTCTTCAAGAAAGAAACAATCTAGAAGAAATGGGATTTTTTCTATCACAAAACATACATGGCATACATCTCATGGAAAAACACTACAGGTAGTCCTCCATTTACAACATTATTTGATTATTGTTTTTTATAATTTTCAGAGTTAATACCTGCTGTAACAAGTCACAATTCTAGAAAACATCAAACTGCCCAGCATATTCAGTGTATAAAACATTAGAACAAACCATATTGCCCAACCTCACCATCACCAAAACCGGCATTTCAAGATATGACATGTTAAGAGGAGGGCATGTTTTCAGTCTTGTCATTGTCACAACTGCATTCTTGAAGCCATCTTTTAAATCCACGTTATACTCCCTCATCATTCGCTACAGGCCCAAGAAAAGTAAATATAGCAGATGGTAATTTGCAACAATAGAGTATTTCATAAAGACAGAAAAACATTCATTGCATCATTGAAGTTACACTGACGGTTAAAACTTAGCATTCTAGAATTCAACCACAATATTTTAGAACAGTTTGCTTTCAGCATCTACTCTTCTTGCAGATGTCCAAGAGGATTTCCTATTTCCTGACAGCATAGAACAAAGTACTGCTAGTAAAATATTTTTTTAGCAAATACTTGCACCCATTACTTCCCTTGGATTACAAATTTTCCTCAATTGCACCAAGAAGCTTTTTGGAGATGACTGCCAGGGGACTGATGAATTACAAAAAAGAATTATTCTCAATAATTTTCTGAACCTGCTAATTATGATCATATCCCCCACCCCCAACAATAAGAATAACTCATATTTCACCCAAAAGATTTATAATTAAGAGTATGCTTTGCATGCACTTTAACAGAGATGCCATCAAAAGCTACACTTGAAATGGAAACTTCACAATCATTATACTGTTTCATTGTTCATTGGTGTTCATTTTGATCTTTAACTTTTAGGAGAGAGGTGTACATTGAAACTAGTCTGTGAAGAGGCATGATGGCAAAAGGTTTAGGAGCCAAAAGATGTTAATGATCTCTCCAAGCCCTTTGAGATTTGGATTTGCATTTCAGAATTGGAGGCGGTAGGAAGGGGGAAAGAGGGCAGCAGTACTTTTGTCTTTTAAAAGCCTCTTCAAGGGTTGGGCAGCCTGAATAACCAGCTGCATTTTTCCTGCTATAAGCAACAACGTTTTAAAAACTGGGTTCCATTTATGCCATTCCCAACTGCTTCAGGAAGGCTGAAGCAAATCATTGCTTCTACAGGAAACATTTGCTATGCACCAAGCCTTTTTAAGTTGCAGGCCAGTCCTTTATTAAACTGAAACTTCTGCAAAGTATTAGCAACTACACACCCATTTGTCTTCCTTGTCAAAACCAACACACACGTAAAGCACTGACAGAGCTATCTCTGGAGATGTTTTTTGACACATGCTTCTGTTAAAGGTCATGCAATGGATAAGTACTGTAAACTCCATTTTTATGCCTGATTGCCAAGTGTCATCTCAGTTATGCCAAATGCACAGAAGTCAAATCGATTAATCAACCCTTGCTATGGAGAGTTTTTGGCTCTTGATTATGTAGCTGAGAATATGAGGGCCTGCTTTCTGTTCAACCCTGAAAAGACAATTTTAAAATTTCTGAATATCTAATTTCAGGGTTTTAGACAAGTGAAACTCAACCTGTGCCCTGGGATTTGAAATGGTTTCCAAAATATAAAGAGTAAGAAAGAAAACCTCAGTAAGAAAGCCCTTTACACAGTTTGTTTGATGAGAAAGACAGAATCTGCTTTGATTATAGGCAATGAAACTATCTTACATGATCTATGCAAACTCCACCTGTGGTATATCAATATGTAAGACTACAAAATTCCCATGCGCACAATACATCCATAAACCAAGTCTGTAAAATGTGACAGAAGCTATTTCACAAGTTCAAAAAGTAGTTGGGTCCCTCATATATGAAAGAGCTTCTAACCAGTTCTGAAATCCAAGTTAATATAGACCAAGAATTTCCATAGTATCTTGCATGGTCAATTATAACCATGTATGAGCAGGAAAATTGGTTTCAGTCATGACTACAAGCTCAACCACTTACAATCTGCAAAGTCAAGATGGTGTCTTGTATCAAATAAACTGTAAAGAGATACTTCTACTTTACTTATCAGGCTGTTCAACACATTTAATTCTAATATATGCATGGCTCTAGTACTGAATGTATTTCTTAAGGGCGTATGGAATGAGTGACTGTCATCCACAGTTATACATTCATCTCCTTTGGAATTTAATAGTTAAAGCTGGTCATTTATCTCAAGAACTACAAGTTTCACCTAGTACTCTTCATAGATTAAGGGTTAAGCTATATAACCAAGATGTACTAACACAAATACAGAACCATTAATCTTTCCTCAAGGGCAAAACACCTGATGTCATCTACCAAACTCCACCTCAAATCAGGGCTGAGGAAACGGTTGAGTCCCAGAAAAGAGTTTAACCTGCTTTTATTTCTAACCATCTTACACATATAAAGGACCAACACTGTAGGGCAAGGGTGTCAAACTTGCGTTGCCATGGCGTCATCACATGATATATTGGGACTTTTTTCCCCTTCACTAAAACGGGAGGAAACGGGGACAGTACATGATGAATCTGGCCTGCGGGCCACCAGTTTGACACCCCTGGTATAGGGCTTCATTTGGGAAATCGTTAACACACAGATCCCAATTTTTAGGTAGCACATGCATTGGAAATTGACATCATGGCCACTTTTACTTTGTTCCTAGCAAGCATTTACAGAAGCATCCTTGGAAATAAAAATTATACTTGAAGCTGATACTTTACAATACACAAGATTCCTATTTTTTTCTTAATTAAAAGAATCTAAAACAAACAAAATAAAATGGATGGTGGAATTTTGCAGACCAGAAGAGAATGACTACTGAGGTTTGGAGGCAAAATGTTACTACTTCGTTTTTTAAATGTCTTTGTTTCATTAATTAGACTACCATTTTAGGTAAATTAAAATATTTTTAAGCTACCAAACCATGCAGTATTAAAAGAAGGAACTCGATACTAGTGTTAATTAAAATAAGGAGTTGTTCCCTTTAATTATACCTTCGATACATTTGGGGAAATAAGTCAAGTAAGGTGGATTTAAAAACGTTTTCAGAAAGGTGGATTTAAATGTTACTTTAATATCAATATTGACATATTCAAAGAAAGCCTCAGCTTTCAGTTTAAAGAAAATTCAAAATGTGAATACAAATAAGGATACGGTTATACTGAAAAGCATGACTAATCTTCATAAATATCCTCTACATAAGATTTATTTATTTATTTCTGTTTATATGACTGCCCATTTCAACATAAAAAAATAAAGTGGGAAAATTTTGAGTACTTTCTTCATCTATGTAGTTGTAAATGCATGTTTGTGCAAATAGGCAATTATTCTAGAAACTATTTATTCTGC